TAGAAGACAGAAATGCACACATAAAACAAAATAGAAAACTTCTTTTAAAAAACAATAAAGATTTCTTTTGGAAGAGTCAACTTCTGAATCACATTCTTAAATGATTATATTTTAGATCTGTATTCAGACCATTTGAGGTATATCAGATGGAGCTAAAAAGATTTTTGAAACTGGCACTGGGAGATGGCTCAGTGGGAAAAGTGTTTGTTGGAGAAGCAAGAGGAACTAAGTTCAGTACCCACATAAAAGCTGGACATAGCTGTGTGCATCTGTAACTCCAGCACTGGGAGGTGGAGACAAATGGATCCAGGAGCTTGGCAGCCAGTCAATCTAGAGGAAATGGCAAGTTCCAGATGCAATGAAGACCTGTCTCTAAAATAACGTGGAGGGTGACACAGTGCACCACCTGACATAGACATCTAGCTTTCACATGCATGCACATGGGCAAGCGCGCGCGCGCACACACACACACACACACACACACACACACACACACTGCTTGAAGGTAGTCAGTGTAACTTACACATGTCTACACTAATTTCAAAGACAAGATATGATCATTACTGACAGAGGAAGGAGATGAGTGAAGAGAAATGAATCCAGTACAATTTAACATGATATACCTTAACAGATGAAGTGGTGATAATCTTAAAAATATAAGCTTTACAAGAATTCCTCCTGAAAATCTTCAGGAAACATGTGGCTGCTCACCAGATTCCTCCTAAAACATTCAAATGTGTATTTCTCTCCTCTGAAATGTAAAGTACTACTCAAAGAAGTAAGGAGCAGCAGGGTCGTAAAGCCCCTAGTCCCAAAGTTCAGAAACTTAGCTAAAGTCACATAACAACTAAGAGTCACGCTGGAGCCGGGATGACTAACTACAACTGCGCAGCTTACCTCAGTAACCCAGAAGAAAACTACCATCTGGGTTGCTGTGTTGTCTAACGTGATATACTAAGGTGACTAGAAAATTATGTGGGAATTGTAAACTTTAAGTATTTTAGGATAATCTAAAAGATGGACTGTGTTATGGATATTAAATAGTAGCCTCAAGTTAGGAATTGAGAAAAGTGTAAAAAAGATGTTTTGAAGATTTATTATGGAATAAATAACCTGAATCACTAACTGGCCGTGCATCTGATTAAGCAGGGGAGCTTACACACACACACCACACACACCACACACCACACCCCTCATCAGTCTTGCTAAATAAAATCCTCCAGACATGGAGCCTAGGTAGAAACACACTTCCCAGGTTATTCTGACTCATTAGCTGACCTTTCATCAGTGGAAACCTAGATAAGGGACTTTTTCTCCCAACAGTAATACACAGACAAAACATTTTGGAAACAGTTGAGCTCTACTTCTAAGTACTTCAAAAGGTTTTTTGTTTTGTTTTGTTTTGTTTTTGCCTTTTTGAAAGAAATTTCCATTGTTTAATACACAAAATCTTCACTTTAACAAGTGAGGAAAAAATGTGAGCGGATTTCCTTAAGAAATAAAAGAATCTTTATTGTTTTAGAAGCAATGTTGAGCAAACAGACAGGCAAATATCTAAAAAGAGATACCATACATCAACTAGTATATTAAACATTTGAAGAAAAAACATGCAAAGTATTTACATGGACCAGTTTCGTGATACAAATGCTAAAACAAGAAAAACACCCTAAACCAAATAGAGTACACTACCATCAAGGTACAAACCAGGCAAAATAAAAGCAAAACAAAAGTACAAAAGGTACAAAGATCATGTATGTGTCTGCAGGAAATAACAGTGTAAACAGCAATGCATAAACTGGCCCATGTAAAATACAAAAATATTCACTGAAGTTAAATTTTTCTATAAAACAGTGCTTTTGGAGGTATTTTCATATGAATTAGATATATAATCTAAATGTAAAAACTTTTAGAAACATTAACAGCATTAAGCCAGTGCCGCCCACTTGTAGTTTAATTAGTCTTCTTTTTAAAAGATATTTTGTGTTGATTCATGAGAAATATATAAAGCCTGTGTTCTTAAAAGCATAATCCATTCTTATAAGATTAACAATCTTACACTAAACTACAGTTTTAAATGAAAAATAAAATTGAGACAGGGTCTCAGTATGTAGCCCTGCCTAGCCTGTAACTTGTTATATAAACCAAGCTGACCTCCACCTCACAGAGATCCACCCGCCTCTGCCTCCTAAGTGCTGGGATTAAAAACATGCACCACAACACTCAACTGAAAAATGTTTTTTTTTAAAAAAAAAAAATCGGATCTCCGTTTCACTTGTAAGAAGTATTTTTAGCTGGCTGTGCTGCTCCCTGTCGCTCTAGGAGAGAGTTAGTCAGGAATATGATTCTGAGCCAGTATGTGTTACAGGCTACATAGACAGCAAATTAAAGTAAGAAAATACCTTTCACTCCTCTATAACTCAAAGGACAGTTACAGACATATACATTACATACTAACATGCAATTGCCTAAATATGTGTGCATATGTGTATATATGTATGTGTATTATGCATTCAAAATCAGTATTTTGGAACTCAAATAGTTCCTCATTTCTTGATGAATGGGAGGTATATAATGTGCCCTCCCTAAATAACTATAAGAACCTTCTATATATGGCTGCAGATCAATATTTTTAAAAATAGTTGCTGGGCCATACCAATATGTATATATGTATGCATGCATGTATGTATGTATGTATGTATGTATGTATGTATGTATGTATGTATATACGTATAAAAGAGCTCCTGGGAGCTACAAGGAATACTTGCTGTGTTAACTATCAGGCTGAATTGGTTTGCTCTCTCATATAAGCATTAGGTGATGCACAGTAAATGGACAATTCATGCAGTGCTCTGAGCACAAAACTGAATACAAAGTACATGAATTAATAATGATTCTACCATAATAAACAACAACAATGTAAGTTTTGATTACCACAGAACCATTTAAACATGAAAGCCAAATTAGTAAATGCTGTAGCAATCAATGCAAACTGGAAATGAGTAACGTTCTTATGGACTCAGGGAAGACCAAGACTTTTGGATTAGGTGCAAGTTATTTTCTGAGTGTAAGTGCACTTCTTTATCTAGGTCCTAAGACATAGTGACATTTCTTCTTAAAGAAAAAGAAAAGAACAAAGCACATTACGACCAACAAGGAAGACTGGAAAGTTAAAGAGAAATCTGCATTAATTTTAGTGCTGCATGGAGAGGCCAATTTCTGGGTACAAAGGACTAATGCTCCCATTTGGCACTGCCTAGCAATTATCTCTAAAGCACCTAAAAACAGATTGAAATGCCCAGTTGGAATAGCCTTGTATCTTGCAATTTAAAAGATTGAAATACCCAGTTGTTTTAAAAGATTAAATAAAAAGATTAACATCTATTCTAGAATTTAAAAAAGCTTATCTGCTTTTGTCATTTCAGCCACATTAAACATAAATGGATTCAAAAAGCATGAGAAAAGCACTGCACTAGCAAGCGCCTGCTACACTGGGCTCTACTCAGGTCTACTCATATCTCTTTCACAGGTTACATGCCAAAGCAGTTATGTCAACCTGCAAGATGAAAATCACAAACAATCCAGAAGGAGCAAGCACGAATCCACTGGAGACCGGATGTCCCGACTCAACCTCATGCAGGCAGAGAAATCTTCTGAAAAGTTGTTTTTCCTAAACTCTATTTCTAGTTAGAATATATAAGTGAAATACTGTAATACAAATTCAAGACAGTATAACAGAGCCCATATTCTGGAGAATTTTTGCACGTGCCTTTTGCTATAGAAGTGTAAATTTCTTGGTTGGGGAAACCAAAATCACATGACTCATTTTTCATTTATAGTATTTTGGATTTTTGTTTTGTTTTGTTTTTTGGTTTAAGTTTGAAATCTACTATACCACCCATTCTAAGAGCAGCACTGTAACTAAATGTACCTTAAATTGAACAGTATTGCATATTGGAACTTGTACTTGCTTTATTATTTTGTAACAGAGCTCACATGTGGATTAGTGTTACAGAGTTTGATATCCAGCATAACTTTTTCTTCTGCCAATTAGGTAAGCAATCACTATAACGATAATCAAGCCTGAAAGACCAGCACCAACTATAATTGGTATTAGAATGGTGTCATCATCCAGCGAACACTCCTGGGCTGTAGGTGAGAAAAAGTGTGTAACAAATAGTGAGTATAATCAAAAGGAATGTCCAAAAGTAAAAGATGTTGATTCAAAAGTCAGAAACGCTCTTACAAAATCAATTTCAACTAAATAAGACAGATATATTTTTATAATAAAGCTATAGAAAATTATGAACTGCAAAAAGTAAAAATCCTAAAACATATCTGTCCTTTCATTTGTTTGTGTATCTATATAGACTTCATATGTGTGGCTAACATAAATTTATTTATAGCTATAAATAAAGGTGTATGACATGGCACACACACACACACACACACACACACACACACATACACACACACGTGTATGTTTATGTGTTTGCTTATATTCTGAGTCACTTCCAAGATAGGAACATTATTTATCATAAATGAAGAGATCTAATTTAGCCCATTTCTACAGAACCAGTTTAAGCTCTCAGTGAGAGAGTGGACATCTCTGGAGAACCTGGGAACTACAACAGTCAGGCTGGCTCTGGAGCTCCTTTATGATAGAGGATCAGCAAACTATAGTCATGGGCAAAACCTAGATAAAGGGCTAAAATGGCTTTAATAGTTTTAAATGACTAGAAAAGAAGACGGTATTGTGTGAACCATGAGAGTGACACGAAATTCAAATTTTAGTAACCATAAATAAAGTGTTATTGGAACATAACCCCACTCATCTATATGTATCACTTATGGCTCTTCCCAAGCTATGATGACAGAGCTGAAGAGTTGTGGCACACCATCTGACCTCAAAGCCTAAAAATCACATTTAGAGATTTTCAGAAAAAGTCTGTATGTCCCTGACTTAGAATATGTGATTTTAGTGGATGGAAGAGTTCCGAAACTAGGACCTCTTTCTAATTTGAGTGTGTTTACTATGCTTTTATCAATCTGGTCTAGAACAGCAGCCCAGAGGGGCTATTTTTTTCTATTTATGGAGAGTAGTCTGATCCAATAAAATCCAATCAACACTCTTCAACTTTACTGCAATTCTATTTCCTCCCTGAATACACTCAAGTATTACCTGGGTGTTATATTTATAGATACCCACAACCAAGAACCTAGTTCCACAAATAGATTACGCATTCAGTATGAGTATTAAATGTTATATCTCTCTTTGGCACCCAAAGTTTCAAATTAGACAAAGAGCACAGCTCACCTCTACAATAGCTGACTAGATAAATACACCTGACTAAGAAAAACACTGCAAATGATTTAAAATTCTAAACACAAAATGAGACCTCAAATTAGGATAGCAATGTAAGGGAGCTAAAGACTTCAAAAATACATCTTCCATAGGATTGAAATGATTAAAGTAATAAGCAAAACCAACCAAAGAAGAAATAGATTGCTTTTTTTTCTTTTTTTAAACAGGGTCTTACATGCTCCAGGCTGACCTTGAACTCACTACTAGCTGAGGATGACCTTGAACTCCATACACCCATGCTCCAGAGTGCTGGGATTACAGGCGTGTGCAACCACGCCTGGAAAGGGAAATGAAGTCTTGAAAAGACTTTTAAACTTTTAAAGTTGTGATTAACTCACAAGAATAGTAGGGTAAAGGGCCTGATTTATTTTGGCCTAACCAAGGCAGACTACCTTTTCGGCAGCACTGTAGAGGCAGCTGAATAGCTCCCAGTACATTCACTTTAATCACAGCTTCTACATTCCCTTCTAACCACTGAATTAATTGTTTAAAGGGATGGGAATGACTGGAATAGTTCTGCCCAGCAAAGCTGTGATCTACAAACCCCCAATTTTAAGTGATTGGTTTAAAAGCATAAGTCACTTAAGGAATTTTCTGTATTTTTTTTCTGTCATGCAGATTTTAATCTTGTAATGCCAAATATATCTTTCCTATTCACACAAATACATATAATGCACCCTGCACAAGGGTTTCATTAAAAATCTCACAAATACCATCATTAGCCCAAAGGAGATCTTCAGAAAGCCTCATTTGGACTGAGACATGCTTTGAGGACCCTCCATGTCAGTTTGGCTGACAACACTAGAATTCACGAGATGTAAGGTGTTTTTGCTACCAACCACTCTTTATCCTGTATTTTAAGGAAATCATACTGAACTTTCACTTAGGTATGAAAATGTTTCCAGTGAGAAGATGGTCCCCAGAATGCAGATGAAAAGTACTTAAACCTGCTACTCCAAGTGCCATCCCTACCCAAATTCAAACCTAGGGGAGCACCTGTTCCTTTAAAAGCTCATTGAATCCTTCAAATGATTTTCAGATTTGAAAAATTACATTTAGCTTGAGCAAAATAATGAGCTAAATGCAGAGTTACACAATTCATTCCAGGCTGTGAGAACTTTCTATCAGGATCAAGAGGTAAATTCGTATTTCTCTATTTTCGTGTATAAAAAATGTCCATGACTCAAAGGAAAAGCCACCTATAGGGTAACAGAAGCACAGAGTGAATGCAGTTTGCTTGATTCTTACCTGTAGAATACTTTCCTTCTGTCACATTAAAAGGTTGAACTCTTAGATCAAAAGTATTTATCTGAAACGTTCCAGACACGGAAACAACCTGCTCTTTCTTGCACATGTAAGAACTTCCCAGAGGAGCATCCCAGGAGCTAAGGTTGTTATTTGCAACACTGAAAACTTTATAGAAAAAAGGACAGGTTAGTAACTTCTTATTCTACCAGCATAGGAAGAATGAGACAGTCCTTAGGGTTGTGTCATGTGTGAGAGGGCACATGTGTACACAAGTGCATGTGGATGTGTATAGGCATGTGTGTAGAGGCCAGAGGACATCCTTAGGTGTTGTTCTCAGGCGCTGTCCATCTTGTTCTCTGAGACTGTGTCTCTCACTGGCCTGGAGCTTGCCAAGTAGGTGATGCTAGCTAGCCAGCAAACACCCAAGGAGCCATCTGTCTCTGCCTCCCCAGTGCTGATATCCCAAGAGCACACCACCACATCTAGCTTTTTTCACACAGGCTAAGGATCTGAACTTAGGTCCTTAGGCTTGCACAGCAAGCACTTTATTGACTAAGTTATCTCCCTAAGCCCCTCTCCTCAAAGTTTTTTAATGAAGTATGAGAGTTTGAGGTCAGGGTCTTACCAGAAAAAGGAATTCTTGCCATTACTGTTCACTTACCTTGTTTTTAAAATTTGCTGAGACAAGGTCTCACTATAACTACACAGCCCAAGTTGACCTAGAACTCATTGCACAGCCCAGGCTGGCCTCAACCTTATGATTCTCTAGTCTGTGCTTCCCAAGTGCTGCAATAACAGGCATGCACCACCAAACCTAATTCTCCCTCATCTTTCTACAGCTCTTTCTGTAGTCTAAAATTCAGGCATTTTCTTAACAATTATCCACCATACTTTTTGAAAATAACAGATACTACAAAAGCTAGAACACTACAGTTCCACATTAGAGATTTAAGCTGTGATCAAGGAACACTTTTTACATAGCAGCTTCTATTCCATTAAAATAAGGCACGATCTGGCCATAAGATACTTATAGTCTCTACTCCTTTTGTGAAACCCACACTCTTCTCCCCCAGGCCAACACTTTGCTTACCAGAGCCATTAACCAAATACATGCTGACATTCACTTCCTTCAGATAGAATCGGTTTTCATTTTTCTGTTTGAAAAAGAGCCTCCGGTTAACAACACATCACAGCTATCAAAAAGGTACAGTTAACATCTATAGCAGACTAGCACTCTAGTACTGTTACACAGAAGAAACCATCAAAGACACCTGGGCCAGCTGAACAGACTGCAACTAAGTCTTGTCACTAAGTGTAACAAAATACATTTCATTTCAAAACCCGAATCACAGCAGTCACATGTTCCTGAACACCTGACAATTCATCCTCTGTTTCATTCATCCTATGACTTGCTGAGTCCATACTACCTAGCCTAGATCACAGTGTCCTCTTCCCTGGGTTTCCTACCTTTTAGTCCCCCTAGCTCTGCTCTTTGTCTGTCATGGCTATTAACTCTTTTGTTTGTTAACTACATTGATTTTTAATTGCTACTACCTTTACATTTCATTTTATTTTTCTGTGGTGCTGGAACTGGAACCCAGAGCCTTGCACATGCAAGGCAAGTACTATTCCATTGAGCAACATCCCTAGACCAATTTTTATTTACAAAAAATGTATTATTTTTATGGATTTTATGTATGTGTGTGCATGCATGCACTCATGCCATAGCACATGTCTGCAGATCAGAAGACAACTTACAGGAATCTGCTTTCTCCTTCCACCAAGTGGGTTCTAGGGATGGAACTCATGTCATCAGGCTTGGCGGCAAGTGCTGTTACCCACTGAGTCATCATTCTAGCCCTCAATTTTTTTAAACAATATATTAATTCTATGTATTAATGGGGTGCAGTATGGTACTTTGACACATGCACACAGTGTGCACTGATCAAATAATGGTAACTGGCATATCTTTCTCCTTACAATTTCTTTCTGTTTGAAGTATTACATTCCTCTGTTCTAGCTCTTCACAAAATATAAAGTGACTCTGAACTACAGCCGTCCCACTGGGCTATGGACACCAAATCTTGGGTCTCACCCAATGTCCCTCTATCCACCTTCCTTTCCCTGTCTATCATCTTCCTGAAGTAGTCAACTAATCACTAGTCATTCTATTTGAGTGCCTCGTATGTACAAGGTAATGTGTAAGTGCTCCAGAGAATGAGCAAAATAAACCAAACCTGAATCATGTCCTCTCAGTGCTTGTAATCAGCCAGGGAATAGAAGATAAATACCTAAGGGGTTAGGGATATAGCTCAGTAGTAGAGTGCTTCCCTAGCATGCATGAGGCCTGGAGTTCTATCCCAAGGACCAGAAAGGAAAGATCAGTACACAAATTAATCCTGCTACAAAAAATGGAAGTGGTAAATTAAGGATTTGTAATCCTCCTGGCCTTAGTCTCCCAAGTAGCTGGTATTATAGGCCTATGCCGCCAGGCCTGGCTCCAATACCCCTATATTACTAGTGCTGTTGTCATACCCAGTTTGTTTCAAGCACAAAAATACAAAGTGACCTCCACCACGGCTGCCAATTAGTAGTCAATGAACTGGGATTTAAATCCAGGAAGTCTGAATACAAATGTATGTATTGACTAATACTCTGCTCTTCTACTTTCAGACCACATGTATGGAAGTCCAAGTGAAGGAGGCAGAAGGGTGAGGAAGAAGAGAGTCAGGGGAATGAAAGGCTGCAAAAGCAGACTGCACTGCATGGGGGGAAAGGGTTATTCTGCTGTAGAGTTTAGATGCTACCTTGATGGCAAAACAGAATCACTGAAGATTTATGGGTAAGACCTAGGCTTTAGGAAGATTAGACTAAGGCTTTTGAACAGTCCAGGCAAGAAGAAACACAGCTAGAACCAGACCAGAGGCAGAGGAGAATGAAATGAAGGAAAGAGACATTGAGAAATTTTAGACTCAAGCATAAAGGAGGACTTGATGTCCTCTCATCACATGTCCCTCTACTGCTTGGGCAATATCTCAGCCTGGCACTCAAGGAGCACCAAAATTCGTTCCAACTTACCTTCATACACTGCCATTACACATGCTACATGCATCATCCTCCAGCTCATTCTGATTATATTCCTTTATCCAGGGATAACCTGTACTTTTCCACTTCTCCTTAACTCTATATGTATGACTCTGACCCATTCTTGAGTGCCCTGCTCAACTGCCATCTCTCTGCTCCAACCAGAACTAACTTTTACCCCTTCCCTGTGCCCCCACAGCACTGTGCACTAACATATGGTCAGGCATGTAGTAGGTGGCAGTATGCATGCCTAGCATTTGTGAGGCCCCAAATTATATAGATAATATAGATATAGATATAGATATAGAGATGAAATAGAGATAGAGATAGATATGGAGATAGATATAGAGACAGAGATAGAGATATTGGTAGATATAGAGAAAGGGGAGGGAGACAGACAGGAAGAAGGAGAAAGATAATGACTGAGAATGAAAAAGAAAAATATGCCTAGGAAGGTCTGCTCTTACCAGATTGGAGGGGATAGTTCTTTTATACTTGTTTATTTTGATGTTTTCTGCAGTAATAGAGAAGGAACCCAGAACCTTAAGCATGCCAGGCAAGCACTCCACCACTGAACTACTACACTTCCAGGTATCTGGACATTTTTAGTAGTAATTTAGGGGTCACAAATAACAAAGAACGAAGGATTTACTAGAATGCTGGGGAAAGGATTTTTGTAAACATTTCTAAAATATAATTGTCTAATATCCTAAATTAATCATCATATAGTCTATACAGAAAATGCTTTAGACTCAAGATAAATTCAGATGTGAAATAACATTCCAACATTTTTGTTGCCTATTGTTTTTTGAGACCGGGTCTCACTACACAGTCCAGGTTGGCCTTGAACACATGATCCTCCTGCTTCACTACAGATGTGTATCATCTTACCTGGTCAAAGTCACTTTTTTATACATCAGATAGTGAGACTATATCCTCCATGCCTAAATATAGTAATATGAATTAAAAGCAGGCATGACTTTCATACAATTATGAATTCTGTGCTGCAGGGGGTGGTGGTTCACCATTTTCTCTTACCTACACACATCCAATCTCACAAAAAATTGAGACTAATGACTGCTTCTGAGAAGGTAGAAATAAAAGTCCCCAGTGGTTAGTTTATGCTAGCAAGAAGTGGAACAGGTAGGCATCATTTAGTATCTGCTTATGGATCAGTTTTGATATAAGCCTGAGCAACAAAAACCTCAATTCTGGCATTATAAATGATCTTGATTTAATGAATGCACTTATACAAAGCCTTGTATATAATAAGAAGAATCATTTCTCAAATTCTCAGAGGATTGGTTCCAGAACCCACTACAGACACCAAAATCTAGGATGCCCTTTTTAAAAATGGTGTGCTACTTGCTTCTAACTTACACACATTCTCTCCTGTACACCTTAAATCACCCCTACATTACTGATACTCCTTAAATGTAAATGCGCTGTAAATAGTTATACTGTACCACTTACATATTAATAACAAGAACTAAGGTCTGTACATGTTGCGTATAGGTGCAGTTTTTTGATGTAGGGGATCAAATCCAGGGTCTTGCACATAACAAACAAGAGCTTCGGCCACTGAACAACCTCAAACCTTTTTACTTAATTTGGTTTTGTTTGGTTTTTTGAGACAGTAGTCCCCAGCTGGCCTTGAATTCACAGAGATTCGCCCACCTCTAACTCCTGAGTGCTAGGATTAAAGGTGTTTAACACCACACCTGGCTACAGGTTGGGTTTCTTTATTGTTTGGTTTTTGCTGTTGTTGTTGCTTTATTTTTTTGAATATTTTATTATTTTTTTATTTATGTGTATGAGTGTACTGCCTCCATGTGTATAATTGCACCTGCGTTGCCCAATGCCCACGGAGGTCAGAAGAGGGTGTTGGATTCCCTTGGAACTGGACTTACGGATGGCTGTTAGCCACCATGTGGGTTCCAGGAATCAAATCCTGGTCCTCTGCAAGAAGAGTCAGTGCTCTTAACCACTGAGCCATCTCTCCAGCTCCTTGTTCTTTATTTTTATTGTGAATTCATTCTTGCTTCTATGTTAGAGTATCTCAAATGGCAGAATGGCCACTTTCAGCGATCATTAACACAAGAATCCAGCCTACCATCATTAATACAAGAGTCCAGCCTACAGACAGCTTAGCTGATTCTGAGAGGTGAACAGGAGTAAGTAGACTGCACGTTATAATTAAGTAGTATTCAAGTGAAAATGAAGCTAAATATCCCCCCCGCCCCCATACACACACAGCACTATTTAGACTTTCAGATGTGCTTCTCGGAGAATGAATTTAACATCGGAAAAATATCTGGTACTCACCACAGCAAAAACAAAGTCAAGATACTTAATTCTGCTGTTGTTCAGCCTAAGTTGAGCAATTTGAGGAGTGCAGCTGCCAGTGAAGCCAGTTGAATTAGGGTTGATATTAATAACTGAGGAAACCTTCAGGAGAAGAAGCAGGAGGAAGGTACAGATTAACTGTTAAAGACGACAGCAAGGCCCCACACTCTGATAAACCCAACTTCAATGCAGAACAAAAACTCTTTTGTTGGGATACTTGAATTCATGGTGTCTTACTTTCAAACAAACTTGGCACAGGCCCTCAAGCTATGACTCAGATGACTTCAACAACAACAATAACAAGAGAGAAGCTTCTTCAGCAGTGAGCCAAATGAAAACATGTATTTTTACAGAGCACAAGAGCCATCTGTCTAGCTTGTTTCAATGACAGGATTCTGAAAATGGGATTTACTCACTGGCACTCCCCCTGGTGCCCCACTGAGGCACTGCAACTAAAAAAGCATTTGAGCAGGCCTCTGTGATCTGACTCATCAAATTGCTGTGCTGTTCCTGTTTCATAGGGTCAAGGAGGCTTGGGTTGGTTTTTAAATTTTGGTGGTTCTGCATATAGAACCCAGGGCCCTGAGAATGTTAGTACCCAAGTGTTCTACCACTGAGCTATACCCGCAGCTCAACTATGTATATTCTGAGCTATTGAAGGCTAATAGAATCTAAACCACAAAGAATGTTTTAAACTGGCAGGTTTTCTGCTGGTCAAGATAACACCTTGTAAGGGCATTAACTCTTCATGTTTATAGTTAATTCAAACTAATCAAGTCAACATCAAATCCCCATTTAAAGTTGAATCATTCTAGTAACACAACTCTTCGGTAGATGGCAAGCAATACATTATTTAGGAGTAAATGCCCATAAAGGATGTACCAATAAAACAGACAGTTCTACCTTCTCCTGTGTGATGTTCAGCTGCAGCCCCATGGTCACCAGCAGACAAGTGACACCGTCATTTTTAACAGAGTAGATTCCAACCTCTGGTTTTTCCTTTGGAGTGGGTGTTGTAGTAGGGGATGGCACAGTGGTGTGAATGATGGGTACTGGAGGTGTGGTAGTTTTGTCTTCATAACATACAAATTCTAAAACAAATAACAAAATAAGCTAGGGGGTCTTCTTGCTTCATTAGATCAGGGAAGGGCAAAATATTGCTCAGAGTAAAGGTCTCAAAGTCTAAGAGGGTTAATGAGGAGAAAAGAAGACTTGGTTAGTGTGTTTTTAAACTAGATGAAGCACAGGTTCTTAAACTACTTCTTCATATACAGGTAATCTCTTTTCTAACATTTATTTTTATTTTATGTGTATGAGTGTTTTGCCTGTATGTATGTATGTAAAGCACATGCAGGCAATGCTCTCAGAGGCCAGAAGGGGGCCTTGGATCCTCTGGAACTGGAGCTAATATTCAGATGTAGGCTGCCCATGTGGATGCTGGGAACCAAACCCAGGTTCTCTGTGAGCAGCAAGTGTTCTTAAATGCTGAGTCATCTCTCCAGCCCCTATTACAGATAATCTCTTGAGAGTTGTGAGCACAACACATCAAAGGTTGTCGCTACTCACATGTGGCCACATACCCTTCTTTTACAGGCTCTCAAGTGCCTTTATTTCAAAGAACTTCACCTGCTTCTGATGTGAAATTCAGAGATAGGTCTAAAAACATTTTTCCTCCATCTAGCATGTCTTCTTCCTTCCCACATACAACCAGCATGTGGAAGGATACTGTTCACTAAAAAAGATTGGAAATCATTAAAGGATTTAAATACAAAGGAACCTTTTATTTTCATTACTCCTAAAGCAGGTCATAGGCATTTCAACTTCTTCTTAGGAAATTTTGGCTTTCTAGAACTGGTGAACGAGAAATTACTGCATTTCCATAAATAAAGTTAACTTACAAATGCAAGACTGGAACAAAGAAATCTAATGTCTAGGCTTTGGGCATGTAACTACTAAGAGCAGATGACCAAGCTATTTGAAGACGTGGTCAATGTTTAGATTGTATCTGAAAACACGATAGAAAGAGTCTTTTAAAAGAGCATTCCAGAGCCAGGTGTGGTGGTTACATACCTTTAATCTCAGCACTCAGGAGGCAGAGGCAGAACAGGCAAATTCAAGGCCAGTATGAGCTACATATTGAGTTCCAGGCCAGCCAGGACTACACAGTGAGACCCTGTCTCAAAAACAAAACAAAACAAAAAGATGATTCCAGGACTGGGGAGATAACAGTTCGTAAAGTGCTTGCTGTACAAGCATGAGGACCCGAGTGAAATCCCCAGAACCCATGTAGAAAAGCCAGGCATGGAGGCATACACTTAGGATCTCAGTACTGGGGAGAAAGACACAGGCAGAGCCCTCGTGCTCACTAGATGGACAGTCTAGCCTACTCAGTGAGCTTCAGGCCAGTGAGAAACCTTGACTCAAAAAAAAAAAAAAGAAGAAGATGGAGGGTATGTGAGAAATAACACCTGACCAAGGTTGACCTCTGGCCTCCAGCACACTTGCTCACACATGAACACCATATACCACAGGACCATTCCACATGCATAATGCATATCAAACTTTAAACTGCAAGTGCTACTTGCTGTCACTCAGTCTGCTAGGCATGGTGGTGCAAGCCTTTAATCCCAGCATTCAGGAGGCAGAGGCAGGTGGATCTCTGTGAGTTCCAGGCCAGCCTGGTCTACACAGTGGGTTCCAAGATAGCCTGGACTACAAAGAGACTCTGTGTCAAAAAAAAATTTAGTCTAGTGGAAGTTAGAAATAAATAAGCCTCAAAAAATGCTTTCAGATGATGACTTCAACAAATGCCACCTGGTATGCTCTGCAGTCAACCTAAGACCACATACAGAAATCCATTCTTTAAGGACTCACCATTTTTACTCACTGTGCCATTTTGGACATAAGCTTGCAGAAGAATATCCCAGTACTGCTGGACAACAGAAGGCACGGTGACAGTTAATAAACTATTACACCTAAAGATGTCATTCAGTGGAATTTTGAGCCCCGGAGAGTCACTAACGTAAATAATCCCTATAAAACAAGATTAACAATGGCTATTTTCAGGAAGGCAGGAAACACTGTTAATATATTTGTACAGGCTTTCTTCACTCCTCAGGGGGTCCTACCCCATACCAAGTGAAAAATGTGGGGCATGTTGAAGGGCAAGGCAAACTCTCTGTGACTGAAACAATTGGGAGAGGACAGAATGAGGGTTAAGGAGAGCAGTGCAGGAGGTGTTACTCTGACGCGTTCTCCCATATAAGGGACAGGATGGACTTTGCCAGCAATGGAGGGCTCACTTCAGTTCTTTTAATTTTTATATTATTATTATTATTATTATTATATTATCATTATTATTATTATTATTATTAGAGGAAGGGAGGGAGAGAAGGAGGGAGAGAGGGAGGGAGGGAAAGAAGGAGGACATATAAACACAGGTTCCCACACATGCTGGTTGAGCCGCAGCATAGGTGTGGAAGTCAGAAGATAACTTTTGGGAGTTGACTGTCACCCTCCACCCCAGACTCCAGGAATCGAACTCAGGTAGTCAGGCTTGCACAGCAAGCAGTTTTACCCACTGAATCACCTTGCCATTGCCAGCCCTGGCTTCAGTTTTTAAAGGAGGAAATAAGGCATAATTTATTTTAATGAAGATAGCAAATATGCAGCAATGAACAGAGGCAAAAACTTTTAATTAAGGAAGAGCCAGAAGGTCAATGGTCTGGTTAAGGTGAAAAGCAAGGGTTGGAGGGGCTTGCCAACACTAAGATAGTAGAGAGCAGGAGCAAGGAAAGAGGGAGGCTAAATTGAAAATGTCTATCTAAGGTACAGTCGATAGAACTTAGTGACTAAGAAAGTAAGGAAGGATGGGGCTGGAGAGATGGCTCAGTGGTTAAGGGCACTGGCTGCTCTTGCAGAGAACCTGGATTTGATTCCCAGCACCCATATAGCAGCTAACAACCATCTGTAACTCCAGTTCCGGGGGAATCTGACTCTTCTTCTGACCTTCGAGGGCAATGCACGACACAGGTGCACTTACACACATGTAGGCAATACACTCATACACATAAAATAAAAATAAATTTTTAAATTATTGTTTTTATTTTATGTGTATGAATATTTTGCCTGCATGTATGTAAGTGCACCCATGTGCAATGCCTGCGGAGGTCAGAAGAGGATGGTCAGATCCATTGGAACTGGGGTTACAGATGGTTGTTAGCCGCCATGTGGGCACTGGGAATCAAACCCGGGTCCTCTGCAAGAGCAGTCAGTGCTCTTAACCTCAGAACCATGTCTCCAGGCCCAAATAAAATTTTTAAAAAAGCCAGGCGTGGTGGCACATGCCTTTAATCCCAGCACTTGGGAGGCAAAGGCAGGCAGCTCTCTGTGAGTTAGAGGCCAGCCAGGTCTACATAGTGAGTTCCAGGCCAGCTGGGGCTACAGCCCTATAGGGAGACCCTGTCTCAAAAAGACCCAAAAAATTAAATAATAATAAAGGAAGAGTAGTGTAGATGTAGCTCAATGTGTAAAGTGCTGGCCTAGCATACCACAGGCCCTGGGTTCAATACCCAGTATCCCATAAAACAGGGTGATGGGCACACACAGGCCCACACTATAACTCCTACCACCTCAGAGGTGGAAGCTGGATGATCAGGACTTCAAGCTCATGCTTGGCTTCAGTTGGCTAGAAGCCCACCTGGGCTACGTTATAAAAGGAAGAGCCTTCATTCTGGGGCTGGTGAGATGGCTCAGCAGGTAAAGGGACTTTGCTGCACAAGCTTAGGAACATGAGTTCAATCCCTAGAACCTATGTAAAGGTGGAAAGAACTAACAATGCCATAAAGTTGTCCTCTAACCTCCACACACACACGCTGTGACAAACATACGCACACAAATTACAGCTACATCACCATCATCATCATCATCATCATCATCATCATCATCCTTCTTTTAAAAAGAAAGGAAGAGTTGGAATAGCCACAGATTTTATAATAAATCTGTATTTTTGTACTACTGTCTACAAGTATGTTACATCAACTCTAATTTGCTTTTGGAATCTCTTCCTGGCTGGATATTAAAGACTATTGAATTTCAGGAAATCTTCAGGTGAAAGACGTTACAGCCACTGCACATGCTTTTTATTGGAATGCCTATAATGAAAACAACAAAACACTGTGATCATACCCATCTAAACGGCTTAGTCTCTTTTGGAGAGGCAGCAAGAAAGGAAGGTATTTCAAGATCCTTAACATAGGCTGTCTTCTGTGTCTCTCCACCATGTAACAAGGTGGTCACTTAATGGTGCCCTGGCACCCCCTAATGGATGGATGAGGTTTTGTTTTTTGTTTTTTTGGTTGTTTTTTTTTTTTTTTTTGGGTGTTTTTTTGTTTTTTTTTTTTTTTTTTTGGCTGTTTTGTTGTTTCTTTTTTCTTTTTCTTCTTCAATTTGAATTTTTTTTTCCTAAAATTGTCTCAGTGTTATCAGAAGGGAACAGATGTGAACTGGTATATAAAGACAGACCTCAAAAGAACAATGAGTGGAAAAAGCAAGCTGTGACAAATTTTAAAACTATTTTTTGTGAGTATGTGCATACACAGTAAAATATAAACACATGGACATGAATGCTGCACCCCAAAGTTATAAGAGTGGCTACATCTAAGTAGGCAGGGAGGAAAATGTAGCCATGGAGTGAATAACAAAGGAAACTTCGACTATATCTGTAAGATTTTATTTCTTTAAATAAAATAATGAAGCAACCATAAAAAATGACATTATAGGGGGCAGTGGAGGGAGGTGTGGATAGAGGGGATCTAGATAGCATCAAAGTATATTATATAAAAATCATAAAAAGTCAATGAAAAAGTAAAATTTTTTAAAATGACTAATTCTGGGTAATGGGACTCTATGAGTCTGTTATATTATTCTCTGAACTTTTTTGTATTTTAATCATGAAAACATTTTTTAAATAGCAGCTACAAAGTTACTTTGGTGATTAGTTGTTTAAACACAAACTGGTATTTCAAAATCTTAAATTATTTCAAAAGCAATTGTCAAAAGTACATGTAAGGAAGACATTTGAAATTTTAAATAGTTTCAACAAATACATTATTATACAGAAATAATCATAGAAAAGTAACAATTTACTTCTCTAAAATAACAAAAAGGAAGAGGTGTTCATATTTTAGTCGTCTTAAGTCGTCTTATCTAACATGTCAGACTAAAGCCCTCTTCCTTTAACAGCTGCCCATGTTGTCTGGGCATTTATCACATCATCCCTTGATTACTGTAACAGCCTCTGAAGCTGGCTTCTCTGCTTGGAGTCTCCTTAAATCCAAATTAATATACCAGTATACTCTTTATAAATGACTCCCTCTGCTTTTTTTTTTTCTGGTCTTTCTGAGATAGGGTCTACCAGTAGCCTCAGCTAGCCTGGAACTCACTATGTACACCAGGTTGGCCTTGAACTCACAGAGATCCACCTGCCTCTACCTTCAGAGTGCTGGGATTAAAGACATGAGCCATGACACCTGGCCTCCATCGCTTTTTTTTTAAAGCTCTATTTTTATTCTATGTATATGAGTGTTTTGCCTGCATGTAAGTGCACCCATGTCATCTGATGTCTGTGGAGGCCAGAAGAAGGCTTCAGATCCCCTGGAATTGGAATTACAGCCGGTTGTTAGTCACCAGGTGGATGCTGGGAACCCTCCAGTCCTCTGCAAGGGTAGCCAGTGCTCTTTAACTGCTGCGTCATCTCTCCAGTCCCGTTCTGCTTTTCTTGTAGCATTCTCTGGCTTAGAAAAACCTAACATGGTTTCCCTGTTGCCTGTCCCATCATGCTAAAATGCTCTTTCTTGGCTCCCAAGATCCCCTATAATATAGGCTCACTGCACTCAGCTAACCTTCTTTGCCTTCTGCTATGCGTACAGCCTCAATTTTAGGCAAGCAGCTCTCCAGTGACTACTGTACATCTTTTGCTTCCCGCAGGTGGAAGCATCCTGCTAAGTTCCTCCACGTACTCAATTTCCACCATTAACAGTCTAGCTCAAGTCCCACTTCTCCACCAAGCTTTTTGACTCCTCCATCACACACGGACCTCTCTGCTTCTAATCTCTCTTCGCTCTCTCTGCTCCTACTCAGGACCACTGGTGAGAACACTCAAAAAGCCTAGCACTCAGCCGCAAGGATCCTCAGATGGGCTCAGAGAACACGTACCACATGCTGGGTTTACTTTTCTTTTTTGAGAGAGGTCTAGAGCTTTCCTCATACTGTCAGGAAAGATTTGTGGACTATCTAACCACTCAAACAAAAAAGAAAATCAGACTGACCTCAATGTTTTCCTTTTTTTCCCATGTTATATGAGAACACAATGTAGCCTTGTCTCCCTGAATGATTTCTAAGCTACTTGAAAATGAGGGACAAACCTTATCCTAGTTATAAAAGATAATGCAACAGTGCAGACCACAAAGCTAAATATGCAAAATACTCAAGAACCTCTTGCCTCAGTTATCCTCTCAAACTGAGAGATAAGTAAAATTTGGACTTGATTTTCAAGTCTCAGTCTGTGCTAGCTCCAAAGTTTAATCCGAAGCACATTCACTTCTGAATCTTTAAAATATTATGTTCCCCTGACAACCACTAGTCCAAAGCAGTTATTAATCCCCAGGTCTGGGCATCTAATGCTGATCTGCCAGTGTTTCTGTGGTCAGAATGAGACTGTATGAGAAGAGACATGTTAATCTAACCTCACTGAGGGGAAGAAAGAAGAAAACTACATCCCTAATACAATAGCATCTTAAACTGGACATAGTGGTGCACACATGTAATCCTAATGCTCAGAAGGCTGAGGTAGGAGACTATAAATGTGAGGTCAGCCTGGCCTGTCTCAGACACAAAATATTTAAAATCTCCACTATCCATGCCCTCAAAATATTTTTTGGTCTTTTTTTGAGACAGGGTCTCCCTGTAGTCACAGCTGGCCTGGATTCACTATGCAGACCAGGCGGCCTCACAATCACAGAGATCCGCCTGCCTCTGCCTCCCTAGTGCTGGAATTAAAGGCGTGCACCACCATGCCTGGCTCACCCTCAAAATATTTTAATGCATATTCAAGTTTTGAGAATGACTAGAGTGGCCTAACGAAATTATTTTTGACTTGAAACAGTCTCCAAAGAGCAGCAAATGTTGACTTTAGTTTTTTTAACTTCAGTCATTATTTACTTCTCAGGTAAAGCTCCATCTAAGTGGTTAAAAGATCTGAAGATGAGGCAGGTCCTCTACTCTTGTACACTTTGGAAACAATTAGTAAAGGATTTTCTCATTTGTTTAACATTTGCTGGGTGTCCACTATTGGATAAATACTATCAGTTAAGTGTATGAATTCTACAGCTCAATAAACTTCGGTTCAAACACCATCTTCTTACACACTTCTAAATTTGGGGCCTCTGACAAAGTCACCAAGCCTCATTCCTTTTATCTATTTCCCAACAGTGCTATAAATTAAAGGCTTCCTGAGATATTTTATGTGACACACTCAGCATGACAAATGGTACACATTAAAACACTCCAGCAATGGCAATCAGTACCAGTGTGCCAGCCCTGTTCTATGTATGGGGTTTGGGGTAGGTAGATACAAAGAGGATTTGATTTTCCATTCTAATTAGGAAGACAGATTCACAATGATTTTTTTTTAGCTGTTTCCTTTTGGGGGGGGTTTGTTTTTGTTTTTGTTTTTTTGAGACAGGGTCTCCCCGTAGCCCCAGCTACATAGACCAGGCTGACCTCGAACTCAAGAGATCCACGTGCCTCTGCCTCCCAAGTGCTGGGATTAAAAGCAGGCACCCATGCCCAGCTGAAAGACAGATTCTTACAAGGATGGGACTCTTGTTTGGCCCAATGGATGAACCCACACTGAAGGACATTTGGGGACACAAATCAGACTCTCTATATAACAGGTCATTAAATTAGGTGGGGGCAGTAAGGAAAGATGCAGAGAGAGGAGTGGATCTAAAAACCATCAAACTGTATTATATGAAAATTGCAAAAATTCAATTTTAAAAAAAGTAAGAGAATGTAACTCAAATCCAGTTAAGGTTACCTTTAGGTGCAGCATCAGGAAATTGGCTATCACTAGTATTGTAGGATAATGAGATGCTATCAACTAAATAATCAGGTGCTTCCTTGGTAAAATTCACAGTCCAGGAGAGTGCAGATCCATAATGTACCATTATTTTGGCAACATTCTTCTCATTTCCACATCTGCTTCCTTTATATGTCACGTTATGAGGTTCTGAGATTGTTACAGTTTTCTGCAAGAAAAAGAGGTTTGTGGGTGAGAAAAAACAGACAGCAGTGGGCCCCAACCCGTGGAGAATGTGGGAGGGTGTGCCACGTCTATATAAATCACACTTTGCCCATAGCCAGGTGACCTTTCCCCTGAAGTGCTATGGAAAGCAGTCTCTGATTCTTCAGCTACACATGAGGTGTCTGAACAAGTCCATGTATGTCTGAAGAGAAGAGGAAAAGTTGCCTGGACTTCTCTGTTTGTTCATTTCTGCTATTCTGGGGATGGAATCCAGGACCTCATGCATGCTAGGCAAGTGCTCTACCACTGAGCTACATTCCCATCGCCTAGGCTAATGTGTCTGAGTTAGGCTATGAGTAGGTAGGAATTTAACGAAATGAAAAAAAGGCAAAAAAAAAAGACTAAGAAGAGACCTCCAAAAGGTAAATATTTAATAACATTCTTAGAAATGCTATCTCAATTTAATGTCAGTATGTTTTAAATGCATTTCAGAAGTGGTTGAACTTGAAAACCATAAAGTCTTTGTAACCATCTCTGAAAAACACTCCAAAAGACCAATGAATGGAGAGGAATATTCATTGTAACCCTAAAGAGAATACCTGTAAAGGTATAATACTTTTAAAAAAAACATGGAATTGAAGTGTTAAGTCAAATAACAGATCTTATTTGTATAAATATATCTAAAGGATAAAAAAATTCTGAATTTAAATCCCTACTATAAAACCCAAAAGACAGGAGCTGGGGAGATGGTTCAGCCATTAAGAACATTCATTGACTACTCTTTCAAAGGCCCTGGGTTCAGTTCCCAGCACCCACATGGTGTTAACTGTCTGTATCTCTAATTCCAAGGGATCTGATGCCCTGTTCTGGCCTCCACGGGCAGTGTACAACATGGGTGCACATATATAAATGCAGGCAAAATACTCATACACACAAAATAAAACTTCTTTAAAAATCTAATAGACAAATACATTTACTTACATAGGTTTTGTTTGTAGTTTCATATGATATTGTGAAATTCATCTGCCATTTTGCATACAGGCAAGTGACTTCTGAATCTGTCAAATTAAGTTCCAATGCATAAGGCTGAACAGCTCCTAGATTAAAAAAATGTACAAGATCTATATCAGACAAAAACAAATTCTAGCCACTTCTGAAGTACAGCAAGTTCTAAAATGAAACATGCATTTTTAAGTATATGGTATCCTGGTGATTATTTTTCTTTGTAAGTTTTAAGTGACTCCTACTAATGAAAGTAGAAGCGCTTTCTCTTTAGGAAATAATGGCTACTAGAACTGGGATGCTTAGGTGATGGCAGAAACTAGTGACCTCTGCCTTCTACCTCCTCCTAATAATCATTTGCACCTTCCCCTCTGCCTTGCTCATTCAGGTTTAGACAATTAGAGTTTGCTTTTTATTTTCAGTGCTGAGGATTAAACCCAGGGATTCTTCATGCATGCTTTGTAAACATATGCTCTACCACAGAGCTGCAGCCCTATGCCTTTAGTTTTTGAAGTAACTAAGTCAAGGGGAAGTTTGAAAGGTATGTCCTTTCAAACTACTCTGTGAAACATGCTCTGCAATGATAATGATATATCAGATGTTCTATGGTCTTATTCAAAATTCTGTTGTAGAAGCTGGAGAGATGGCTCAGCAGTTAAGAACACTGACTGTTCTTGCAGAAGACCCGGGTTTGAATACCAGCACCCACATGGCAGCTAACAACTGTCCGTAACTCTAGTTCCAGGGGATCTGACAGCCTCTTCTGTCCTCCGTGGGCATTGCATGACACGGGTACACTTACCTACATGCAGGCAATACACGCATACACATAAAATAAAATAATAAATAAAATGTTTTAAAAATTCTGTTGTAAACTACACAGCCTATGATGCATGAGGTCTTCCCAAATGATTTCATTCTGATGTGATCAGACATGAGATACTATGTGTATCACATGACCAAAGAAGCACCATTGAAATGGACTATTAGAGTCATAAGAAAACTAAATTTTTACAAATGCAAAGTTCATCACTTTACTTTAAAATTGAATTGGCTAGACACTGGAGAGATGGGTCAGTGGTTAAGTGTACTGGCTGCTCTTCCAGAGGATCAGGGTTCAGTTTCCAGCATCCATATGACAGCTAACAACTGTCTTTAGTAACTCTAGTTCCAGGAGATCCGAGGCCTTCTTCTGGTCTCCCTAGAGTTTGCACACACATGGTGTACTTACATACATACAGGCAAAACATTCATAAATATAAAATAAAAATTAATTCTTTTTCAAAATTGAATTGACTAAAAGGGCTGCTGAAACTTTCACACTGACCCAAAATTACTTCCTTACTTTTTGAATCTCAAAATGGAGAAACCTTTCAGAGGGAAAGGCTCTGGGACTTTCCATCTAACTTAACTCTAATCTTCTATACTTAAAGGTTATAGAAGAACTACCTATTAAATTCATGGGCCTAAAGCCTCGATATTCTAATGGAGAAAGGGAAAATATGTCAGTAATTACACCTGCAACATAAATAATGGGCAACCATTTGAGAATTGCCTTTACTGTCTCACACATTACCTAAACGGTTTCCTGTTAAACTAACCACACATCTGAGGAATCCAGTATCATTTGCAGGTAGGGATATACTATAGACTAAAGAGAATAAACTCCTGAGAGGAACACCAAGCAGGCATGCCTCAGCAACAGCTTTCAAGCTGTACACAAAAGCTTACCGTCATGCTCCAGAGACCTAGCAGCCTTAGCAAGCCCAAACACAAGGCTAAAGCTTGTGGTTATTGACAGTCACTAAGTATTGGCACAGGTTCAGAAGACCTTGTGAGACTTGTGTAGTTTTACCATTATTCTTTTACCAAAGGAATGGCACAATCAAGCAGATTCAAGTGTACCCTGTAGAGTGCTGTAAAAAGTCCAACTTACAATTTTCCCAATCAACTAGAGGTTTGCTTTCATCTTCTCTCCCTCCCACACACACACCCCCATCTCAGTCTGGCTTAAAGTCCCAAGCTTGTGAGCCATTCTTTTTCTATATTTTATTATTTTTATTTTATGCGTATGGGTGTAACGCCTGCATGTGTGTAAGCTCACCCATGTTGTGCAATGTCCAAGGAGGACAGAAGAGGACGTCAGGATTTCCCCAGAATGGGAGTTGCACTTGGTTGTTAGCCACCATGTGGGTGCTGGGAATCAAATCCGGGTCCTCTGCAAGAGCAGCCAGTGTTCTTCACCACTGAGTCATCTCTCTGGCCCTCTTGTAAGCCATTCTTGTATCCCTGGAATAAATCCCACTTGGTCTTAACAAATGATCTTTTTGATAAATTACTGCACTCAATTTGCTATTATTTTATTGAGAATGTTTACATCTAAATTCATTACAGGTATCAGTCTACAGCTTTCTTTTGTCCTTGGATGGTGAGGTTAGAATCATGGTTATGAGAAGCTGGGAAGAGTGGGTGAGAAGGTAGAATGGAGAATGTCAATTGATGGGTACTAAGATACAGTTAGGAGAATGGAGCTCTGATAGGCTGCACCACACTGCATGGTAGGGTGACTGCAGACAGCAACAATGTACTGTGCATTTCAAAAAGTCAGAAAGGATTTTTAAAGTTTTCACTATAAAGAAATGAGCAGACGAGCCAGGCATGGTAGCCCATGCCTTTAATCCCAGCACTAAGAGGTAGAGGCAGGAGGAGCTCTGTGAGTTCAAGTCCAGCCTGGTCTACACAGAGTTCCAGGTCAGCCATCGTTACATAGTGAGACCATGTCTCAAATAATATAATAATAATAATAATAATATTTTTTTGTCTTTTTGAGACAGTGTCTCCCTGTAGTCCCAGCTGTCCTGGAACTCACTATGTAGACCAGGCTGGCCTTGAACTCGCAGAGATCCGCCTGCCTCTGCCTCCCAAGTGCTGGGACTACAGGCATGTACAGTGGCACACCCGGCTTCACTTGATTTTTAAAAATTATACAGTATTAACATGCATCAAAAAATCATGATATCTCATTATTGTATGTAACTTTATATGTATTAATTTGAAAAATAAAGAATATTCTTCTCCTGTATTCAAACCATTCAAAACTATTTTTAAAAAAGAACCAAGAAGTCAGGCATGGGAGTGCACATCTATAATCCCAGCACTCAAGAAGCTGAGACAGGTGTATTACAAGTTTAAGGCCAATCTAGGCTACAAAGACTCTGCTTTTAAAAAAAAAACTGGGCATGGTAGCATATGCCTTTAATCCCAACACTCAGGAAGCAGGAGGATCTCAGTTGGAGGTCAGCCTGCTCTACATAGCAGTTCCAGGCTAGCCAGGGCAAGATAGTGAGACTCTGTCTCAAAGAAAAAACAAAAACAAAAAACCACAGGGTCTAGTGTAGTGACACATGCCTTTGATCCCAGTACTTCAGGAGGCAGAGGCAATAGCCTCTCTTGTATTAAACATTTTCTTCCAAAAGATATTAGGGTATCAGGAAGAAAGCTGTGTGAAACAGTAATAGTTTCAATTTTTCCCAAGGTGGGAGAGATTGAAGGTGTAGGAAGAAGGTCCAGATTGGAGTTCACATTTATCATTTGCAATCAAACTCAAGGTAATCTATCTTAAAATCCTGAACTGAGAACAGAGAAATGTCCCAGGACCCAGACACACCCATTCATTATCTTCGTAGACTTTCTGCCGGAGAGCCATGCCAACTGCAAAGGGATCCTGTTTACTTACAGGCTATATTCTCAAAATCAACAATTTCAAAACCAATATTCTTTTCTCCTCCAAAAGGGACTCCTCCTCAGCCCCATACCATGGGATACAAAGGCCAGGCCTGGTCCTTACTTTATTGTCTTCTTGAAATCCTACTGATTTTTCCCCTTGAATTCTTTCTTAAATCTAATCTGTGCCTTTCATTTCTATTCTCAATCTATCACTCCACCCTTAAATCCTTACAGACCCCTCTAGCTGCTCCTAAAAAGTCCAGCCAGATCTGTGATCCTCAAATACGATTTCTGTTTTACTGGTTTCAAAATTCCTATACCAAATTTAAATTCCTGTCTGACTTTCAAAGTAATCCTTAATCTTACCCCACCCTATTGCTTTACCATCACTCAAACCATTTTCCCAGAATACACCCTCTAATCTGGTTAAACTGGTTTGCAAAAGCTACACTCCAGTCAATTTCTACCCCTAGGCCTCTATTGTTGATCTTTCTTCTGCTGGCCTAAATGCTCACCTCAAGGACTGTCATTCTTTTCACCTACCCCAAATTTGAAATAACTGGACCTCTCAACTTGATTCTAACTTCTGACCCTTATGACTGGCCACTCTTAAAAACTGAAAATCCCCGAATAGTTGTTTCCCCAGCGTCCCTTACAGCTAAACCCTCCCTAACAAAGGAATCCAGTCCAGACTTAGAATAGAAAGGCTGTGAATGGAGCCAGCAATAGAAAAAACACCCCAGGGGCAAGGGAAGAGCTGCAGCAAGTGCAAAACGGAGTCATTAGCCATGGGTAGAAGTTTAGCCCTTGGGTCTTAGCAGTAGCATGAACTGGAGTACTGAATAAGGATTTGGCACAGGCGGCCAGGAGTGCTATCTTTCTGAGGAACTTACATTAAAAATGTTTACTCACTTTAAAAATGTTTATATTTACTTATTTTGTGGTTTGGGTACTGGGGATTAAACACAGGGTTTCACACTCACCAGGCGAGTGCACTACCACTGAGCTACAACCCCAACCCATATGCACTTTTTTGTAAGGTAAAATATTTTATTGTGATGTCACACAGAGAAATGTACACAAGCATAACATATAAAGTGTATACAACATTGAATACAGCTCAGAGCACTATTTTATTTTTCGGACAAGGACCTGAGCCCTCCTCCCAAGAAGCAGAACATAACTGGATGTGGTGGCACAGGCCTTTAATCCCAGCACTAGGTGTGTGCGGCTTGGGGTGGGGTAGGGTGTTGTGCTGTTGTTGTTGCTGAGGCAGAAGGATTTCTGTGAGTTCAAGGCTAGCCTGGTCTACATAATGAGTTCCAGGCCAGCTAGCCAGTACTATACAGTGAGACCCTGTCTCAAAAAA